ATGGACCACTCCCACCACTGGGTCTTCTTGGGCAACGGGCAGCCCCTGAGGGTCCAGAATGACCTCTCCCCTCCGCCCGAGAGCCCCGGCAACCCGCTGGAGAGCGTCCAGACCTGCTGCCATGGGGACCACCACAGCAGCGGCAGCTCGCAGACCAGCGTGCAGAGCCAGGTGCACGGGCGGGGAGATGGCTCCTCGGGGGGCTCCACCAGGGACCAGAGCGAGGACCCGCTCAACTCGCCCACCTCCAAGAGGAAGCGGGTGAAGTTCACCACCTTCGCCACGCTGCCCTCCGAGGAGCTGGCCTACAACTCCATCCCCATCGCTGACGAGGAGGACCTGGAGTGGGTGTGCCAGGACATGGGGCTACAGGATCCCGAGGCGCTCCACGACTACATCTGCAGGATCAAGGAGATCGCTTAGCCACGCCACGCCAGCCGCTGCCCACCGGCCGGGGCTTGAGCGGATACCCCAGACCCTGACCGCGGGAGCCGATTTTCGATACTCCCCCCCCTTTCCCTTTCGCTCTCTCTTCCGCGCACGGGGCTCCCCCTTCCGCCACTTTTTTTTTTCTTTGAAAGGGAACGAGTGTCGAGCGAGCCAAACGGAGCGGGGTGAACCCCGGCGTCCCAAAGGAGCAAGGGGCCACCTCTGCCTTCCGCCCACTCACCGCCAAAGTGCCGAGGTGCCTGCACGCTGCTTGCACAAACGCCCCCCCTCCTGCCGGGTGCTAGGTGGCGCCGTAGAGGGGAGCCGGCGCAGCGGGGGGCGCGGAGCCCCGCGTTATGGGGAAGACACTGGTGGGGGTGGAGGAGCCAGAGATAGAGCAAGAAGTTCGGGGGGGGGCAGGTTCAGACCTGGAGCGATAACGGTCAGCGTGGAGGGCTCAGCTTGGATGTGCCCGCTCTCCACGTGCCCTGACGTTGCCTTGGCCCACCCTGCGAACCACTGACCGAGCGGCGCGGCCTCCTGCCCTGCGGCCTCCGAGCGAGCGTCGGCCACGAAAGACGAACAGGATTTCTCTGCTTTACTTTGTTGCACAATAATGTTGAATAAATATACATTCAGGGATCCCCCCCGACGGGCCCGGTCCTGCCGTGGGACACGCTGCTCCGAACGCCGGGGGAAGGGAGGGGAGGAGCGGGCAGGGGGCATGGCCCCGAGCTAAGGACCATTGGTGCCTCGGGAGTGCACCGGAAAGCTAGAGCGAAGCCGTCTGGCTTTGGCCCAGCCAACCCCGCTGTCACCACCCCCGGGGAATACATGGCCACACCCTTTGCTATTCAGCACCAGAGGAGGACAGCGCCCATGGCTGTCCCTGGCTGTGCCAGGCCCCGGGCTCCTCACTCCCATCCGGGGCCTGTTCCCGCCATATGTAGCTGCGCTTCTGAAAAGCCAGGGCTGGCATGAAGCAGGGGAGAGAGGGATTGAGGCCAAGAACCCCGTTGGCCTCCGAACCCAACCACAAAGCTCTTGAGCTGCTTGGGAATCTAAAGCCGAGGTTCTCGGCCCCGGGCCAAGCTCTTGCTGCTTCTCCCAGCTCCTCCTCGGCCGGGCCCGGGCCCGCCCCCGCTTGCATTTCGTTGTCTCGGCGTGTGTGCCTTACCCAAATGGAAGCACATGCGGAAATGGCCCCAACTGGCACGTCAGGGGGCCCCTCCGCTGGCGCGCACCAGGCGTGGGTTCTCTGCCTCCCACCCATGGCGGGGCGTGGGGCGAGCTGAGCTCCCAGCTACCCGGCTCCCAGTCCGCAAGCTTCGAGAGACTGCACTGCCTGGGCGTCAGCTGCCTTGGGTCCCATTCGCAAGCTTGCGGGTGAATCGGCAAGCTTGAGCGAGTCACCCTCCCTGCACTGCCCACGCCGTGCCTCAGTTTCCCCTCGGTACAACATATTACTGTGGTTCTTCTTTGGCTCCCAGGTTCAACACAGGCTGTTGTGGGAGGGAATTGCTCACTTCTCCGGCTTCTGCTGCCCAGGGCAAGCCCAAGGGCTGAGCGATGGATTGAGACCTCGCATGCCACGTAGCAACTCCAGATGTGGCCCACGCCCTCACATCCCCTGGGAAGGGGCAGCTGCTCCTGGGGAGAGGAGATAGTGCCAACCCCACAGGGGTGGAGAGCGGCTCTGAGTGAGCGGTTCAACCACGATGCTGTGCTCATAGCGCCAGGCCTGGTCCCCGTAACAGCCGAGTGGGGCCTCCCAGAGCCAGGCCCAGCCAACTTGCAGTCATAGGGTCTCTCCCCGCCACTGCCTCGCCACCTTGGCATCTGACCCCCTCTGCCAGGGAGCCTGGAGACTAGGCCTCTCCCATCGCCACATTCCCCCACCATGCCAACAGTGGTGCCTGCGCGCTGCCCTGTGCCACGTGCCCCCCTCCGACCATACCAGGCGGTAGACACACCGGCGCTGACTAGCAGAAGGGCAGGAGAGCAGAGCCGCTCACGCCAAGGGAGGGGGTGGTGGTGTCATGTTATCTCTCGACTGGGCTTTACCCACCACTGTGTCTAATTTTTATTAAATAAATAAAAGAGACTAGGGTAAAAAAAGGCACTGGAAAGGCGGGCGCATGGACAGCATCTCTGTTGGGTTTGTGTAGCGTTGCCCCTTTAGCCCGCGTGGTCCAGCCAATAACCAGAGCCTTGCGGGGGGTTCTGTCTGTTCGGAGGAGATATTGGTGAGACTCAAACTCATGGTGGCGGCTTGTTTAGTCACAAAGAATGTCCATGCGCCGTCCTGTTCCCTGAACGCAGGAGCCGCAAACAGCAGCAGGCAGTTTCCTGTCTCAGGAATCCCCACGCCTGCTCCTCCAGCCAGCTCTGTGCCCAAGAAGCCCTGTGTCTCTTCTGCCTCCCCGGATCACACTCACAACCACCATCAACACACTCCAGCTGCTATTGGTATCCCAGCCCCTGTGTTTGCAAGCGGGGAACCCCACTCAGCCTACCCAGCTCAGCTCTGAGCTGCCATGTGCCTTGGGCAGTCTCTCCATAGTTGTAGTTCTCTTTACTCCATAAAGGGACTTAATTGCTCCTTTCATTGAGCCTGAAAACCTGCTTGGTCATATCTATTGACGTTAACTAGGGGCTTGTCTACACCTGGAGTTCATCAGGAATAGCTGTTGCACTTTCAATTCACACCCGACCTTCAGCTGAATCATCTTCCAAGTGTAGACAAGCCCTCAAGCTGTGATTGGCTAAGGTGCCGCTGACGGCAGCCGTTCGCCCCGGTCACAATAATGGTGTAACTATACCCAATGCACTGTGTGTGGCCATTAAAGCGGAAGGGAATTGGTTTCACCTTTGCCAATGCTAGAGGAAACAGCCTCCTAGGTAACCCAAGCTACTGGCCTTGGGGGGGGAGGTGCATTTTAGCAGTGGGCCCAAGCCGGCTCTCCTGAGCAGCCTGCACATGGTTTCTCAACCTGGCTGGTCACAAAGGGGTGTTGGGGGGGCCGCAGGCCCCCTGTTCTTCCCACGTCGCAGCTGGGAGGGGCTCCCTGTGTGGAACGCTTGTGGCCCACTGGCAGAGGGAACTGGCGTGGGCTTTGTGCCCTTCTAAGCTGGCTTCCTTCAGGTGTGGCACTAAAGCTGGGCCTCGGGAACCCTGCGCCAGGCCAAGGGGAAGGCGTTGGCGGAGGAGGCTGAGGATTTGGCCTAGGCACCGACGTGCCCAGCAGGCCCGTCAGCCATGGCTCTGGGTGCGGCCAGACACGGAAGGACGCCGGGGGCCTTGTCTATAGGCATGAACTGCCAAGGGCTGCTCATGAGGCCCACGCTGCCCATCGTGAATGTAGTTGTACAAGAATGAGAACATCCCCGTGCACACGCAGCATCCCTGCTATGCTCAGTGTCTGTCCTGGGGGAGGCGGCCCGGGAGCACACGCCATATCTGATACGCCCTGGTTCGGTAACTCCTGGGGTCAGTGCCTGGCGGTGCCCGGGGCAAGGGCGCTGTTACGGTAAATCCTAATCCCTAGCTATTCGCCACCTTCCATCAGTAGGTCTCCAGGCACTGCGCAAAGGCCGGCAGGATCGGTACCCTGGTTGCACAGAAAGGGAAACTGAGGCACAGGGCGGGTTCCAGGTCATGCTCGGCATGAGGCTAGCCTCAAAGTGAAACATCTCACTCATTTGAAACTCGGCTTTGGAAGCAGCCCTCATGTGCCGAGACAGTCCCCACCCCTCCTCCCCCGGCTTCCGCAGCATTCAGCTTGGCTTTAAGTCGCCTCCCTGCGTCCGCCTCCATTTTAATTTGGTGCCCGCTGTGATTGTGCCGCAGAATGCTGATGGCCAAGGACGCTCCTGGCTGAACACTGCCCTTGCCCAGCTGGGAGTAAAGCCCCAGCGATTCCTTGGGCCCCTGGATTTACACACTTGTGACTGAGAGCAGGGTGTGGCTTGTGGTGCTCTGAGGGTACGTCTCTCCTGCGATCGGGGCAGCATGTGGAGGCATACCGGAGCTAGCTTGCATCGTGCTAGAGCACCAGAAAGCCGTGGCCGCACGGCTAGCCGGCCGCGCATGGGTCCAGGGTCCAGGGTGGGCTTGTACTCAAGATGGCTAGTGCGGCACCATTACAGTGGGAGGATTTAACATCAGAGTAGATATTGCACCAGCATCTTCCAAGACAACTCAACCCAGGACTGATAGCCCCACTTGCAAGAAGATCTGTCCCTCTGAGAAGGTATTCAGTAGCTAGCTGTTCCCCTTGGGGCATGAAGCCAGGGCCGCTCAGTCTATGCTGCATGCTAAGCCCGCGTCTGGGGGGCTCGGTGTTTCCACACCTGCGCGTGAGCGTCCACACTGCATTGTAGACCTGGGTTTACAATCGCTGGACCCAGTCTCACAGCTGTGCCAGTGTGGTCCCACTCCACTGCACAGCCCTTCCGACCCGGGTCTGTGGCGTGAGCGGCGTCCACACTGCAAACTGACAGGGCTTGGACCCGAGTTGCAGCGGGACTCAGGCACTGAGCCATGATCCTCGGGACCCAGGTCCCGAGCGCTTGCTGGCCTGAGTCAGACTGATTTGTGTGTGGATGGAAGCGGGGCTGAGCCAGAGCCTGGCCTGGGTGTGAAGTGTAGAGACACCCTGACAGGCTCTGCCCACAGCAGTGTGCTGCACACTGATGCGTTATTTGTGGTGCCTAAAAGTCCTGGCCCAGGCCCCCACATTGCTAGGTGCCAAACAAACACAGAACAAAGCAGCCTCAAAGAGCCTCCAGTCCACGTAAATGCCCCCTTCCGATCTGCCGCTAACGTTCCTATTAAAGCGGGTGCCCCTGCTGCAGAGCCGATCTGTGCAGGGCGTGGCACTGGCCAGCGGGGTCCGAATCCCGGAGCGGAAACGAAATCTATGGGTCATGACCGGGGTTATCAGGAGCTGGGAATGATCAGGGCAGACGCCGGAGGGTCTAGATCCCTTCTGAGCTTTTGGGCGTGTTTGTTTTCCGTGCAAAATTAAAGCGTCTCTGGGCCTGATTTTCTTCAGCAGAAACATCCGTTGCACCTGCAAAAGTTCTCAGCTAGCAGCAAATATTGTTCACGGTTAGCCGAAAACCCAGGCCCCCTCCTGCCTTTCTCCTGGACGATAACCCGTCCACCCCTCCAGCTACTGTCCCCAGGGAACAGCAACTCCAGGAGACTCCAAAGGCCCCGGTGTTCTGCTCGGGGACAAGCAGCAGGAGCCGTCAGGCTGAACACCGCTCCCACAAAGGGGTCTGAGTGAGAGGAGCTCCCGGAAACGGGCCTGGGCTACCCCCTGGAGCAGCCCCCATTTACCAAACTGCTGTGTGGACACACACTGGGTTTAAACCAGGCTTGTATCGGTTCCGCTGGCACCCGTAAACGGATCTAAGCGATGCAAGACTGGCCGCACGCAAAGCTGCCCCCAAATCAATTGATCGCCACACCTTTGGTGAAACCAGCGTGATCAATATGGGCAGACCAAGCCAGGGCTGGCTCCTGGGGCCTCCTAGTGCTTGTGGTGTGTCCTAGGGCACGGCTCAGGATGGCCTCACATCAGCCTGTCCCTCTT